ATCCCCATGTAAGAAAGTATTATTAACATCTAGCTAAAATAAATGCCATTTTCTTTTAACAGCTATAATAATCAATGTTTTAATAGTAGACATCTGAACAAAAGGTAAAAAAATCATGAAAATCTATGCCCTCAACTTGTGTATCACCCCTCATCACAAGTCTAGCCTTATATGTTTCTATGCTCCCATCAGCTTAGTACTTATTTTTATATACCCATTTGCAACCAATTGGCTTCTTGCCTTTGGGTAACTCAACTATATCCCATGTTCCATTAGCATCCAATGCCTCAAACTATTTTCTTATATCATCCTGTCACTTAGGGACAACTGCTGCCTAAGAATAAGTATTGGGCTCAAAGACATGATGTTCACTAGAAGTAGATATAACAGATGAATTTGCACACCTGAGCAATGGGATGGTAGTGTGCAGACATAATTTTGCAAGCTAGAAGGAGGATTATGAGGTCTAGAGGATCTCCTTAAAGGAGGAAATTCAGAATCATTGGTAGAGGAAGAAGACAAATCAGGAGAAGATGAGGAACCAGGAGAAGAAGGGGAGATGTCCCAAAGTACTGTAGGAGCAGGAGAGGTCGAAGGAAAAGAAGTGTGAACTTCAGGATGTACAAGGGAGAAGTAGTCATGAAGTGAAAGGGAAGTCTGCCTAGCAGAATGGGCAAAACGTGTAGAAAATAAAAAATTGGTCATAGTAGGAGAAGCAGAACCAGATTAAATAAAAGGGAATACATGTTCATGAAAGACAACATCTCTGGAGACAAAGCAGATTTTATTCTGTAAGTCATACGACTTATAGGATTTCTTTCCAAAAAGATATCCTAAGAACACACAAGGAACAATTCTAGGTTGTGACTTATCTCTATGAGGCTTTGGAACGGTAGAGTAGCATAAACAGCCAAAAGCTCTAAGATTGGAATAAGTTGGGAGTTTGTTGTATAAAATTTCATAAGGACATTTATCTTTTAAGACACTAGAAGGGAACCTATTTATCAAGTTTGTTGCAGTTAACATACAATATCCCCATAATCTAAGAGGGAGGCCAGACTGAAAAAGAAGAGCTCTTGTAGTCTCCAGAAGATGTTTGTGTTTCTTTTCCACAACTCCATTATGTTGTGGAGTATGAGGACATGTTATCTGATGCAAAATATCTTTTTAAAAAAAGAATGTGGACCCTACAGTGTTGGATCCTAATTCTAGGGCATTGTCACTTCTTACAGTCTGAATCTTTAATTGGAATTGGGTTTCAGTCATGGCAATGAAGGCTTTTAGAAGGTCAAAGACATTACTTTTGGCTCCCATTAGATGAGTCTAAGTGTCTCTTGAAAAGTCATCAATAATGGTTATAAAATATCTGGAGCCAGTATAGTTAGGTGAATGATATGGTCCCCAGCTGTCAATATGTATTAACTGAAAAGGTTTTGTGGTTTGTATACTACTATTAGAAAATAGTAGTCTAGTTTGCCTATCTAGTGGACATATTGGACAAGAAAAAGATTGCTTAGAAGATAACTGTAACCCAAGTATAAAAATATGTTTCATTTTAGAGAAAGGGATATGCGCCAAAGCTATAATGCCAAACCACATCCATTTTATTGATGTCATTCAGATTTACATTAGTAGTTACATGTGTCTCATCAGAAGCAACAACATTTACATTTATAATAGTCTTTACATCTTCATGTATTTCAGGCAAAACACAGACAAGAGAAACAATAGGAGAATTAACAATACAAGAAGAGTACAATGTGGTGCTAGCAACAGGAGGGAGGAGAAGCTTGTAAAGATTATGGACCAGTTTATCAAGAGCCAGAGGCATCTTCAGAGAAGGGGCATGTATAGAACAAAGAGTTCTGGTAAGCATAACAATTCCATTGTATTGGTCTAACAATTTATGAACAGATATGAGATTATATTGGAAATAAGGAACATAAAGAATATGATAAATTGTGAAATTTAGGAATAAAGACAAATATCCTACTAAGTGAACTTTAACCTTGTAGCCATTTGGGAGTGAAACAAGACAAGGCACAGGTAGAGTTTGTAAGTTAAAGAGTAGGTCTTTATGTGAGGTCATATGATCAAATGCTCCAAAATCTATAACCCAAATAATACTATCTACTTGTGAAAGCATGCATGACTTGAGCAAAATACTTTTTGATAACAGCTTACCAGCAAAGTTAGCAGAAGCCATGAGAGTGGGCGTAGAGGAGGAATCTACAGAAACATGGGACTGGCGTAGTAACATCATCAGTTGGGGTAATTGATCTTGTGTCAGACCAGGAACCATTGAAACATTATTAGACTCAGAGGGCTTGACAGACTCAGAATCCATATTAGAAACCACATTAGCAGGAGGACCAGGAGAATTCACTTCAACATGAGCTGCAGTCTTTTTACTGCCAGACCCCTTTGTGAACTTGAAATTAGGAGGATACCCATGAAGCTTATAACACTTATCAATGGTGTGACTTGGTTTCTTACAGTACTTGCAAGCAGGGAATTTCTGAACATCAAAGTTGACTCTGGAAGGAAACCCCTGTTTAGACACCCCAGCATTGAAGGAAGTAGATGTAAAGGAGAAACTGAGGAGAGGTAGAAACATGCCTCTGCTTCTCATCTGACAACAAGATATTGTAGACAATGCTTTCAGAAGGGAATGGTTTAATCATGAAAATGTTACTTCTAGTCCGCACATATGTATCATTGAGGCCCATAAAAAATTGATACACTTTTTGGACATCATCATCCTTCTGATAGTCAGATTTAAAACCACAGTTGCTGCAAGATCTGACTCTACTAATTAACAAGGCTTCAATCGCATCCCACAATTGCTTGATCTTATTAAAATAGGAGGCAATACCAAGTGAGCCTTGTGAAATGTGAGCTAGTTCTTTCTTAAGCTCAAACACTCTTGTAGCATCTGCCTGACCATATCTTTTCTCCAATTCACTTCAAATATCTTTGGCAAGTTCAGAGTACTCAACACTACGAGCAATATCTTTGGACAGGGAGTTAGTTAACCATGAGACGACTAAATTATTATACCTCTGCCACTGTCTCGCCAAGAGAGAACTGTCAGAAGGTTTGACTGAGGATCCATTAATGAAATCCAATTTATTTCTAACAAACAAGGCTACAAGAATAGTTTGCCTCCACCTCCCATACGCAGTACCATCAAAAGGGAGAGAAACTAGTGAGGACCCCAACACGTCAGAAGGATGCACATAGAAGGGATAGACAGGGGTAGGTATAGTCGTCTTCATGAAACACAGAACAAGAGGTTGTAACGCGAGCAGTAGGCAACATAGATGGGAAAGTATCTTCACACATTTTTATACACAATTAGCAGAGAAATACTACACATGTAATCTAAAACAATAGAAAAAAAGGAGATAAATAGGGTTACCAATTCTTTCACAACCGGAAGGAACAATGACCTTGTATATAAGAGTAAAAGAGACGAAGACACAAACATACCCTAGCTGAAGCGTACAGATGCAGAAATCCCTAAACCCTAGGTTGATGAAGACTTCACAAGAATACTGAATGAGTTCGGTCAATCAGCAACATGAGCAAACACCACCAGAACACACGCTAATTCCAACGCCATTACTAGAGAAATTCATTGAAAATCGTCAAAGAAGACAAACGACAACGGACCACTAAAATTCCGATAAAAATACATGAGGGTAACATCGGACGAGAGGTAATCACCCGATCTACCTAGATTTGGACTCTGACACCATGATAAAGTTTGGATTGAAGACAAAACCATGAAAATCTATCTAGGGTTAGAGAAGATCGTTGAGAGAGAAAGGAAGCTTCTAGCTTGTGTTAGAATAGACTAAAAATGAGATATTTGTCTTAGTACACATATATTGACCGACCAACTGAATTGGGCCAGCCCAGTTTATATAAAACTCTCTAAACTAGCTAAGTAGTCAATAAATAGAAGAGTGGGCTTCTCGGCCCAATATAAAAGAAGAAGAAAAGAAAAAGAAGGAGCTCAATCCGCTAAGTAACAACATCTTCATATGTCTTAACATAATACAAATTGAATTTCCAATTTTCCCCTGAAAGCATGACAATGAAGTTATTCTCGTTTAATAATAGTAGCAATTGCATGTAATATACATAATACATACACACTCCATTTTATATATACGTACATGCATCTCGCACTCAAATTCATTCCACAAATTCGTACATTTCTTTTGCTAATTTGATCCTCACCCACAAGAGTCGGATCACTCCAATGGAAATTCCTCGAGTAATGAGGCTTCTTTTAGTAAAATAATAAATGAATTTAATATAATATTAAGAAATACGTATAAAATTCTCACTATAAAATTAAGTAAA